TGTGCATACTGTACAGTATCTGCAAATTTAGTCTATTTTGCAATGTAAATTAGAGGTTTTACGTTAATGTGTACATTATACTTTTATTGTGGATTGACATGCACTGATCAATGCTTTCTAATCTTTCTAAACCACAAATACAAAAATAGTGTTGCAGTTCCCTTTAATATGGTAATACAGTACACTCTCTAGCAATAAAGAAGTAATAGTCACTTGTGTACAAAGAATGGGAGCTCTCACATACAAAACAGAAATGGAGGTCAATTAAATCAGTTGATGCTCTCTTTTTTTTGCAAAAAAATGTAACCCAGCTGCTCATGAATGCAACCAAGTTCAATTTAAGGGTATCAATCTCCATACAGCTTTATAAGATTTAAAAGTATGTAGGTCTTTATCTGCAGTTAGGCCTGCCTGCAATGCTCATGCCTGGAAGCTGACTGTAATTTGGGAGCTGTCAAAACCAGCTAACTTCATTTTAGTTTCCTTCATTCCTGTGTTCCTTCATGTGAAAGGGAAGACAGGACTGAATGAAAATACATTTCCATGAAAGCAGCTGGGAAATGCAATTGTTTTGAAAATATGTTACCATTAACTCCTGCATTCCCAGATTACAATAATCAAAGCAATTTTCTATGTAGGTAATATTTCTACCATTTAAACAAATTAGGGAGAAGACAAAGAAATTAGGTAAATTATAGACAAATCTACAATGGAGGATTTTATTTACTCTAAATAAAAAACAATTTACTCTATTTAAATTTTACTCTAAGTGCCATTTTGATTCTCAATTCTTTAGTATTTGTTTGCAATATTGTTATTCTTAATGTAAACGATAACAATCTTATTGATAACAATCTTTATTAAGACATGTAATAAAAGATTAATTCAACAATTTACTTGGCTGTATACAATTCTTTTCACTACATTATCAAAAATCCATTACTAATCTGGAATCAGTACATAGAGAGATCAGGTACTCTCCTTAAATTTAAATTTAGGATATACATTCTGGGCAGCACATTGGCACAGTGGATGCTGACTTGCACATCTGGGCCCTGAGCTCAGTTCTGGACCTGGTGTGCTACGAGGAGTGGAGTTTGTATGTTCTCCCGCGGTTGCATGGGTTTTTTCTGGGTGCTCCAGTTTCACCCCACAGTCCAAAAAAATAAAAACCATACTGGCAGGTTCACTGGCTTCCGAGAAAATGAGCCCAGGTGTCAGAGTGTGTGTATGTACCCTGCAATGGACTGGACCACACCTTGCGCCCATTGCTTGTCAGGATAGGCTACTGCTCCCCTGTCACCCTGAACTGGATAAAGCAGTTTGGAAATGGACGAATGGAAATACATTTTGAACTATCATCTATATTTCTTAATATGTTGCTCATATTCTCCAGATTGTCTTAAGATGTAAAGTACATTTCAGCCCAAAAGTCTTTTTTTAAACTTAAGATGAAAGCCCCATTTTGATTTATCTTAATAATCATAAGTAGTTTCTTTAAGCTTTGAGTTTCCCTATCTTTTATGTACATCATCTCAATTTGAGTATTCACCACTTATCTGTAGTCTGTTTTTTCATTCATTTACCAACTCTCAATCCAAACACAAACATTAGCTTAAATGTTTACAAACAACAAATGTATACAGAGGTGTATACAGTATAATGTACCATTGAGTGTATCCCAAAACTGAGTCAGATCAAAAGTTTTCAGAAAACCTGTTCTAATGTATAAAAACTCTTACTTTTGTCATTTAAAAAGCAACTAGAAGTACTGTATAACTGCATTCAACCTTCAATGGTTCTCGTAACCAAAACCCTACCATGGCCTAATATGGATGCTGATTTAAATACCTTTAATACAGCATTTTGCACCCGGTTCAATGTTTGCCTAAAGAAGAGAGATAATTGAAGAGGATACATTTCCAAAAGCATTTATC